GATTTGGAAATCTTGTGCTCTATTATTAGCATTAATTATTACTTGCAAATAATGTTACCCAACACAGCTGCACTTACTGATCTGATCTTAAACCACCTGTCAGAGAAAATAGCAAAATATCACCAGCTATCTTTACCTCTTGTTAATAGGACTTTGAGCACACAAAAACATTTACAATTGAAGCTGTGACAAAATCAGTTTCTTCAACAGCTATGCATAGAACACGAAGTAACTTCTGGAGATTAGAAAAAAAAGTCATTTTGAAAAGTAGGCACTTTTTTTTTTTAATTTTTTTTTTTCAACGTTTATTTATTTTTGGGACAGAGAGAGACAGAGCATGAACGGGGGAGGGGCAGAGAGAGAGAGGGAGACACAGAATTGGAAACAGGCTCCAGGCTCCGAGCCATCAGCCCAGAGCCCGACGCGGGGCTCGAACTCACGGACCGCGAGATCGTGACCTGGCTGAAGTCGGATGCTTAACCGACTGCGCCACCCAGGCGCCCCTGTATTTTTTTTCTTAATGAGGCTATCTTAAGTAAAATATTTAAAGAGCATTAACTATCCTTTTTGCTGTAACTGTACAAGTTTATTCCTGAGATTTCTGGAGAAAATTATATTTTTTTTATTCGCTTTTACATTGTTTATATAATTTTTTTAAAGCTTATTTATTTTGGGGGGGGAGGGGCAGGGAGAGAGAGAGAGAGAGAGAGAGAGAGAGACAGACAGACAGACGGACAGACAGACAGAATCGAAGCGGGCTCCACGAAGTGCAGAGCCTGATGTGGGACTCAAACTCACGAACCGAACCGTGAGGTCATAACCTGAGTTAAAATCAAGAGTCAGCTGCTTAACTGACTGAGCCACCCACATGCCCCCCAAATTAAATTTCTTAAAACTAGCAAATAGGAAAGAAATGGTTTTCCTAGATGGGAGGCCAAACTGTGGGTCAACATCTCAGCCAGTTACTTTCTGTCACTTTCCCATACATCAGATTTTTCATTTGGGATATATTCACACAGTAATTTATTCCTTATCTGGCCCCCAAATATGCCACGTCTTTAACGAGCTGAAATGTTCAGCCGAAATGTGGTATGTAAGTTATTGTTCCTAAAAATTTGCCATTGTAGGTAGCTTCGCTCTTTTGAAGTGAGAACATAAAAACAAAATGAGATTTTTACATCTGGTTTGATTTAAATAACAATTCAAGTATCTCCTTTGAACTGATATTCTGAAAAACATTAATATTTATGTACCACAAATTTAAATACATTTTCTGAAAGGTAGAATAGTCCCTGAATATCCTTTGTTTTAATCATTACTCAAACTATAAAGATCAAAAGTTAGCTTTGGTTCACATCGTATTTCTGATAGTTCCTGATTTTTTAAAAAATTTCTTTTAATTTATTTCTGAGACAGAGAGAGACAGAGCATGAGTGGGGGAGGGACAGAGAGAGAAGGAAACACAGAATCAGAAGCAGGCTCCAGGCTCTGAGCTGTCAGCACAGAGCCTGACGCGGGGCTCGAACTCACAAACCGCATGACCTGAGCCGAAGTTGGTTGCTCAACCGACTGAGCCACCCAGGCGCCCCAGTTCCTGAATTTTTTAATTCAAATACTCCACTAATCATTTAGAAATAAAATTAGTATCAAATACATGAAGGAAAGCTTCAGACAATGACATTTCCTTTAAAAAGCTATATTCAAATGAAGATATGTTCTAACAGAAGTCATTAGCTCTTATTTTCAGCTATGGCTGATCTAGAAGATGTTCACTGAGTTTTTGCATGAAATGGAGTTGTTTCATAGTCTTGAAAATGGATTCCCTTAGAAGTTGTGATCTTCATAATAGCTCCATTTAAAGCATCATCTTCAATGAGCGTTATTAATCCATTTGCAATCATTGATGGGCTAAAAAGAAAGGAAACATTGTTTTTTTTTTTAAATTTCAGTATGAGGCATAACTATCACTACATTTTGAATTGTTTTTGGAGAATCTACTAGCTTTAACAAGTATTAGGGAAATGCACGTCATGAAGCTATTGCTACCTCCATTATTTTATTCAATTTGATATGAATTAAATTATATGACAACCTTAGTCATACATTTCCTTGCCTACCCTGTCATTTTGACAGGAAGAACTTAGGGGCTTATTGTTTACATTAAGACAATGATTATTTTCTCCCCTCGAGCTTACAGATCTTAATCAGATGAAAAGGGTCTTAAAATCGAATCACGAAGAATTAGAGATAACGCTTCTTGAACATCTCTTATTTATCTGGTGCTATTTTAAGTACCTTCCATGTATCAATGTATTCATGGCCTTTCAAAAGTCCCCTGTTTGTTTTCGTGTTGTCTCGATTTTATAGGTGAGAAAATTGAGGTACCCAGAGGTTGAGAGATAACGTTTCTGGTCAGAGCTAGAACCAGGATTTGATATCGGGGGGGGGGGGGGGGATCCTTCAACCTGATAGTTACGACTCCACGCTGTGAAACCCAACTGCTCAAACACAGACACTATTCACCAATCATGTGTGTTGATTCTTATGAAAATGGTTGGAGTTAAGGGGCCATGTGAGATGTCACAGGAGGCAAATGTGAATATTTCTTGGTATTTAGTCAGATAAAGGTATCATTACTTCCAAAAGCCTCACATTAACAACAACAACAAAAAATCTCACCATGGCTGAAGGCAATTACGATGCACTGACTGTATCTCAAAATTCATAATGTGTAAACGTATTCTGTTCAGGAGCCCAGAAAAAAAAAATTCTCTTTTGAGAGTTTGCTGAACCAACACGTCAAAGCTGGCATTAGCTTCTCAAATTTAAAAGGTTATTTTCCCCCTCTTTATCACTTAAGACTAGATAGTACTTTAGCCACAGTACAAAGGAAAATAAGTACTTACTCCAAAATTCCATAGAATTTCATCATATCCTTGATGTGATCTTTATATTCTATATATTGTCCCATGTTTTCTTCTTTTTCAATGGATTCGAGGATGGGTGTATTAACAAAGCCTGGGCAAATGGCATTCAGTCTAACACCGCTGTTCATGAGATTAGCTGCCATCTGTTGATGAGAAGTAGAAGGTTGCAGGTTTCAAGCTTTGTAAATGTATACCATGGGGCACACTGATAATTAAAACCATTTCAAAGAGTCTGAAGTGAAAAATGCTAGTCAGATATCCTTCTAGCTACAGGACAATGACAGTGGTAAGGTGGACTGGTAGCAGAAAGCAAAAGAATACATACCTAAAATGCTGAATGAATTCCTGAAAGCCTCAGTTAATTAATTCTTCAAAAATTAGTTTTACTGGGAAACTCCTGAAAATACTTGATTATGTAAGCTGATCTTATCTACTGAATTCTGCAGGAACCCAAATGTAAAAAGCTAACGCTCAGAATTAATATCTCAGGTTCGCTTTCAAAGATCAGGGTTGTAGAACAGAGAACATTTCCTTAAAAAATACTGTTAGTGGAAAGTTTGCGACTTTGATGGATTCTAAAGATACTCTTGATAATATGTACTATCTGGAAAGTAATTTAAGTATTTTCAGACTAGCATTCTTTGGCTTAATTTTGCACCTACTGATTTTATTTAAAGTATCTGTAGAACAAAATGCAGTCGATTATTTTTCCATTCCATTTGCTTTCTTGTAACCTCCAAAATCAAGTCATAGAGCTTTTGGGGTCATTTATGGACAGGCGCAGAGCAGTGGGAAATTTGAGTTGCTATACACAAATGTTTCAGCTAAGATCAAAAGAGATGCACTTCGTTCTTTTTCAGCTCTTATAAACAAAGGTCCTTTTGTGATATATTTAGTCCGTGCTTTTGTGCCTTTTGTTGGTGACTTGGCTCTTTAAAATGACTCCCAAGCCTAGTGGTGAAGTGCCGTTTGGTGTTCCTAAGTGTGGGAAGGCTGTGATGTGCCTTACAGAGAAACTACATGTGTTAGATAAGCCTGATGCAGGCATGAGGCATAAATGCTGTTGGTCATGTTACTATAATACATATTGAACACAATACACATTAAATAAGATGTGTTTAAATACAAATATATTTAAACTAGGCTATGGATGGTTGATCAAAAATGCTGTGACCAGAGGCTCGAAAGAATGTAACCCTGTATTTCTCCTAGGAGCAACAGTTCAGTATTCTCTAATTCAGTGTCTGCGAGTGAACTGACTGTACAGGTGTCCATTCTTGTCATTGTAAAGAGGGAGTTTCTGGTATTTCAGATTTGCTTTGTTTTGTAACAGCTTTATGCGTTCACTGAAAGTTGAATTACAGAGTAAGTCTTTGCAAAGTAAATAAAAATTTCCAATCAATTTGAATTAAGAGCTGCTTGTCTTCCCTTTTGATTGCACATCTACTGTTCATGCATCTATTTCCTCTCTCGCCATCTCTTCTCTATCTCTGTCTGCCTCCTCTCTTTGTCTCACCTCGTCTGCCCACTGCAGAGACTTTCCCAACTGTCCTATTCTCTTCTATACTTGTCCTAATACATTCTCTAAACAGTAGCCAGAACCGTCTTCAGAAAATGGAAACCTGATCTTGTCCCTCCTCTGCATAAAAGACCCCCTGGTGGCTGCATTTAGAATAAATCTAAGCTCATTACTGTGGCGCACAAGCTGCTTTTCATCTGGCTCCCACTTCCGACTCTCCTCCCCTTCCTCCTCAGGTTCCATTCAAATGGCCTTTTTTCAGTTATTATAAAAAGGCAAGCATTCTCACTTCGTGCCATCAATGCATGTGGTCAGTTAGGCCTAAAATATTCTTCTAAGCTCTGTGCACCTCTTACCCTATGCCCCCATGGAGACATCCCCCTTGACTACTCTCTCTGGTAAATGCCTATTCCCCCCACCACCCCCCCACCCCGTGCTCTCCTTTTTGTCATATTTCCAGTGATAAGTAATATCTGGGGCACACTGCATATTCTACTCAAGGAGGGCTAAAGTTAATTTTTAAATTTGGAGCCAATTTTAAAAATAAAGAGTATCTTCCCATTTTTTGCCCTTAGGAGATTTTTCAATACCACATCTGTGTTTAGGACCGACTTCATTTTAAAAGGGTCTAGTCTTCATTTGCCCCTTGATGTGACTTGAGAACCATTTTCTTTTTTATAATAAAGATTAAAGGATAGTTTATTTTTCTATTTTTAATCCAGATGTATTGAATTCTGATTTTATTCCCCTCTACTTTCTAGAACTCATGTTTCATGCAGGTACAGAAAGAGAAAAGGAGACATTGTAGTTGTTACATCCTCACCGCTGCTGAGCGTGTGAATCCAATTATGCCATGCTTTGAAGCACAATAAACAGGCTGTTGTGCAACAGGCATGAGTCCTGAAACAAACAAAAAATTTCAACAACTTAACTAAAAAACAAGCAGACAAAAACCAAGAAATAGTTGCTATGCACATGGATAATTTGTGTCTGTTCTATTTTAAGCTTATTCTACAAAATACACTAAAATCATCTTTGGACAACTTTCCTTCCACGATCTCTATTACACTGTCCAGAATTTATGGTATATAAGTGACAGCCTAGGAATGAAGTCAAGAGTGATATGTAAGCCCTTCTGTCTCCCTGACCTTCTGTCAAGAGAAGTCAGTGTTATCTAAAACACAAACAGGAGCGCCTGGTGGCTCAGTCAGTTAAGCGTCAGACTTTGGCTCAGGTCATGATCTCATGGTTTGAGTTTGAGCCCCACGCCAGGCTCTGTGCTGACAGCTTAGAGCCTGGAGCCTGCTTCGGATTGTGTACTTCCCTCTCTTTCTGCCCCTCCCCTGCTCACGTTCTCTCTCTCTCTCTCTCTCTTTCTGTCTCTCAAGAATAAGTAAATAAACAAACAAATCACAAACGGAATCATCTTTAAATTCCAGTAAGTTACCATCAATTTTCAGTTTTTAAGGCTGGATCTTAAAAAGTATATATTCTATATTTGTAAGACTTGCAAATGGCTGAGGAAGTTTAAATTTCTTAAGCGAGATATGGAGATTAGCTGTCCTTGCTATAAATTAGTATGTATTTCCCCATCACCACTTGTACTGAATGATGCCTGTAAGTGTTTAAGAAAATTCAAAGTAACTTCATTTGATTTATATCTGTAGTAGATGCCTAGATCTTCTTGCCCATGACTTAGGAAAAGAAAACCAGAAGAAAGAAAAGAAAAGAAAGAAAACCAGAAGAAAGAAAGAAAGAAAGAAAGAGAAAAAGAAAGCAAGCCACAACTAAAAATGTATGATTCCATTTTATTTCATTTCATAATTACGCACTCTAATAGAATTCAAGCAATTTTAGAATTGGCTTAATTTTCCACATATGCACAGTAGTAACTATTCGAATGCATGACTAAATTCATGGCCTGCAGAAATAGTATTGTAGCACGCACAGCATCTTTTGTACCCCTACCTCTGGGCACAACCCCCCAAAAGAAACAAAACAACAGGAAAAACCTTTTCCTGAACAAATTCTATTTCTAGTCCTACTACTACCAAGTTTATTTGTCAGAATTGTCAATTTTCTAATCAATAGTGAAACTTTCAACTAGAGCCATTTGTCTATTTCAGTTTTTAACAAATTTCTTCCATTAACTCATTTTAACATTTTTAACACTGTGACTTCTCTGAGTCAAGGGACAGCGATCTCTGATTATTATAATGTTATTAATATCAAATGTCATGCTAATAATACTAAATTATTCTGCTGAGACATGTTCATCTCCACCCAGCTAACTAGTCCCAGAGCACCGCCAATCAGTCGAGTGTGTTGTGCCAAAGTTCAGCACTAAATGCAGACCTTAACCACTCCCTGGGTGCCTGCCAGGTCTCAATTTATAAAGTATGTTTGCTCAAGAGCACTTTAAATCCCTGAGGATGGTAGATCACACGTAGTGCGTCCACCCAGTGACCTCAAAGTATTATAACATGTGGTTCTCTTCTTGTTTTTTGTTTTTAGGTTTAGTAAAATGTGTCAGTTAATTAAGTTCATTAAGGTCAGCCACCAAGAATTCATGATGCCTCCACCGTGTACACAGGACTGTGTATCACAGTGTATCAGGACTCTGGGATAAAGGGAATAAGCAGGTGCAGCCAGGCATTGCTGCGTCTTGTTCTTCTGAGTTAGTCGTGGCTTTGCCCCTCCTTAAAGGTCTAAGAGATAAAGGCAATTGGTGGTAGGACCGTGTCCACGGACTGTAGGAAGTGCAGAAGGAGCCGTAGGCACAGAAAAGCTGGCGCAGCCACAGAGACAAAAAGCACAAGGGCGCTGTTCATAAATGTTGTCTAAGATGAACTTGAAATGGACTTTTGTTACTTCTGTGAAGGTACTGAACTTCTGAACCCAAGCTGGTTCAAAGTATCACAGAAGTGAAATAAATCAAGTACTGTTAGGTGGGTTCCATTTAAACAGGCAAGCACAAAACATATACTTCTCTTTAAAGGCACAACTGTAAATGCAACCAGAATGGGAAAAATTTGCTTCCATTTTTAAAGCGCACTTGGTTTTATGAATCTTGTACCATTATAATGACATTTTCACTGCGATCCTGCAAAATGTTGACTTGTGCTTTGCTTTCACTTTTTGATATCAGATCAAAGGCTGTATAAATCAATAGCAGACACTCAGAAATTGTGTCCTTTTTTTTTTATAACTTTATGAAGGCATAAATGACACACAATAAACTACATAAAGTGCACAGTTCAATAAGTTCCAACATATGTAAACACCCATGAAACCATGACCACAATCAAGATAATGAACACATCCATCAATTAAAAGTCTCCTCTTGTGCCTTTGTCACCCCTTCCTTCTGCTTCCTGCCCCCCTTTCCCTGCTCTAGGCAACCACTGATCTGCTTTGTGTCACTACAGTCCTCTTTTTCTAGAAGTTTATATAAACGTAATCACATATTGTAAACTCTTTCAGTCTGACTTCTTTCACCCAGGATAATCATGAGCTTTACCTACGTCATAGTGTGTATCAATAGCTAATTTCTTTTCTTTTTTTTCTGAATACTATTCCACTGTAAGAATATACCCATCAATTGCATATACTTTCACCTGTTGATAGATACCTGGATTGTTTCCAGTTTGGGGGTATTACAAGTTAAGAGAATTCTATTTTTCAGTTACTTAGGCAAGCCACAGTTAATTTGGAGACTTTTTTTTTTTTAATCTTCCCAGCATATATAGATCTTAACTGTTACTTCTTATGTTTCGAACAGGAAGGGTGGGTTAGAGATCTGTATCCCCAAATCTCATTTTACAGACTTATTTTTCTACAGTGTATGTTTTTCTGAAAATGTATATTTTTGAACTACAATGCCACAAATCTGGTACAATGTCCTAACTTGGTTGGGTTTCTGAACCCTGGTGAACCGTGGGCTGCTGCTAATCCTAATTCAAGAGGATTTATAGAAGTACATTCATTTGAGATCTATGTGTTTAGTCTGTTTCAAGTACAAGGCACAGGGAAGCATATTTAAAATATACTCTCTTGAAATGAGTCCCTCCAGTTCTGAAAGGCCAGATCACTGCCAGTCATCCAACTTCAAGGAAATATTGCCAGTATGTAACTAGCTGGCCAGTGGCTGGAATTAATGTGGGTTTTTAACATCTTGCAAATTAATACCGATATGCACAGGGTATTCATGTTAAAGGATTTAAGAACAACAACAAAACAAAGGATTATGACAATGAGATAGCAGTCTCTAAAGAAATGACGTTTTGTTTAATGTTGTGAGAGAGAAAGCTATTATTTGTGCTTAAAAATGGATACCTTACACTGGGGCACCTAGGTGGCTCAGTCGGTTAAACGTCTAACTTGTGATTTCGGCTCAAGTCATGATCTCACAGTTCATGAGTTCGAGCCCTACACTGGGCTCTGCACTGACAGTGTGGAACCTGCTTGGGATTCTCTCTCTCCCTCTCTCTTTGCCCCTCCCTCTCTCGCTCTTTCTCTCTCTCTCAGAATAAACTTTATTTAAAAAGAATAGTTTTTTTAATCCTTAGTCTAGACCCAGCATGGTGCAAGTTGACTTACAGAATTGCAAAATGAGTCTCTCCAAAACATAATAGGTCTAATTACTTACAGGTTTATGTCTACCCTAAGTATAGATTCATTTGGGAAAAAGATTCAATAGGGACGCCTGGGTGGCTTAGTCGGTTAAGCGTCCGACTTCGGCTCAGGTCATGATCTCACTCGTAAGTTTCAGCCCCGAATCTGGCTCTGTGCTGACAGCTCAGAGCCTGGAGCCTGCCTCAGATTCTGTGTCTCCCTCTCTCTCTGCCCCTCCCCTGCTCGCTCTCTCTCTCTCTCAGAAATAAACATTAAAAAAGTTAAAAAAAAAAATCAATGGAAGGAGAAATTCTACCCACAAAATAAATGCTTTCTATAAACACTCAGGATAATAACACCAAATAGCAAATGACTGGATGAGATAATTACAAAAAATTTTTAAATACCTGAAAATTACATATGCAATTACAGAACATAGAAGGAAGTCACTTAGAAAAATACATTTTCCATTTCCACATCAGTTCTTCTATCTTTAATATTCTTTCTGCCCATATTTACAACAGATAGCTGTAACCTCTATATCTCATAGAAGGTAAAAAACTGCAAATCTGCTCAGACAAGGCAATTGTACCGAATCACCAAACATACTTCCTTTCAAAGGGACAGAAGCCATGTCAAATAGATTACACAGAAGTGCTGAAGAAATTCCACTTAGGAAAACAAACTGAGAATCCAAGGACACCAATCCTCGCATGCGAAACTGTAGCTTAGCAGCTCAGCCAAAAAGCAGGAATCTGAACCTCTCACGTTTTCTTTACGATCAAAAAAGAAAACATCTACCCATCTTTCTGTTTTCAACCATCGCTTTTCTAAGAGGAGGGAGAAGGAAGAAGTGATGAGAATCTGTTTATCTATGTTGGTGGAGACAGCTGACCCAAGTAGTCGGTGCACCTCCTCATTATATGCGATCTTCCACATAACAGAACACCTTATCTGATGCTGCTTTTTTCCATCAGTATCATGTGCGCCATTAACAAGTCATGTTTGCAAGTGTGACAGGACATCAAAAGTGGTGTAAGCATTCATAAAACTACTGCACCTTCTGTAATGAAAATCTTTCCGGAAAGGTAATTTTGTTTGTTAAGAATCAACTTTATTAGTTCTGGGGTGCCTGGATGGCCCCGTTGGCTAAATGTCCGATTCCTGGTTTCAGCTCTGGTCATGATCTTCTGGTTTGTGAGTTCAAGGCTGCGTCAAGCTCTGCACTGGCAGCAGGGAGCCTTCCTGGGATTCTCTCTCTCTGCCTCTCTCTCTGCCCCTCCCCT